TCATCTAAATTGGCTTTGTAGGCAACAGCAAACAAGATTTATTGCGCCCATAATTATAATGCATGCTTATTAGAATGAAAACCCACTTTGTTTATTTCCAGTCGCATTCGATTGTACTTCTGTTTTAGGGTTTGCAAAACAGGTGCGAGTCCACAGCAGCAAAAGCGCGTGCAGGATATAGCGGAATGGTTCCTTCTGTCGAGTAAGAATAGCCCACAGGCATATGACGCGTCTTAAAGGGAGCACGCCATTTGGATGAGAAAGGAGCAAGGCGCTGACGTTGCCTACAGTGTGAAGGGCTCTCGTTTAACACGGAGCAGCGGATTGCTGGTGGAGATGCGTGCGCGAACACAACGCCCGACGGTGTATGCGGACGTGGCGCCTTGAGGACGAGGAAGCCTTCGCCGGGGCGCAAAGGTGCCGGGCGCCAGGCCAAACACTCGGCCCCAGTCGAAGAGCTGCGAGGGCTCCTTGATAGAGCGCGTTGGCTAGATCCGAGGGAAAGCCATTGTGCAACTTGTGCTTCTCTCTTATTTCAGTACGAGTGTTCTTGATAATTGATCGGCAGGTGCGGAACTTTTTACACGGTTGGAAAATAAATGACACAAAGAAGTAGTAGATTCCACTTCTGTATACCTGAATTTTGCAAACACTAACTCAATTATTTTCTCGAGTGCTTTAAAAGAATCTTTAAAACTTTTCATTAAAACGCTACGAGATTACTACAGACTACAAGTTAATGAGATCGTTAGTAATACTCGCTAACTGATGTTGTGACTTCCCCCCCAATTGAAGTTTCACTTCAGTCAATTTGAGGAGAAAGATGCAGAGACATATACCACATCTGCGTACCGCAAATATCTGCTTTTTCAGTAATTGAAGGCATGGACTTGTAATCGATGCTAATTTACAGAAAAGCATTTCGTCGTTATACACAGAGCTGAGTATAAAATAATGGAATAAGCGCCACAAAGGAAGCGTAGTTTTCAAATTATTCTGCTAAGACGCTAAACACATGAAAGAAGTCAAACTCTATTAGTGCATCCAAATTCTATAATTGATTTGTAAGAAAAGAATACGTAAAAGTAAAAGTAAATTAGAAAAGGGAGAGAGGAAAACGTAATTTGTAAACTAGTTGGGTGTTACAGAATGCACAGGAATGCCTCGCTGCCTACTTTGTTCCATTTTGTTTTGAGTAAGGGTTGTATTTTTGTTTTTTCTGTAAATGCGCATCTAAGAGGAACTCAACCTTAAAACTTCAGCAAAAACTAGAATAATTCCCAGTGAATTTCCCTGTGACATTCCCAACGAGAATTACTTAGTGCTTTCCAAAATCTTTAAGACCCACATCGGTCCGATTAAATATGTACCTTGTAGCTCTTGGCCTCATCGAGGTGTTTTGGTCACATTGTCTTAAGTGTAAGGAGCTAGTTCAACTCAGTCACCGATCGTGACAAGGGATTTGAAGGGTAGAGTGGTAGTGGCAAGTGTGAAATGCCCAATGCCGCAAACGCGATCGAAAAAACAAAATGCCTCACCGAATTCGAAACTTCAGACTTTGTTCCGCGTGGCACTCCTCTCCCCACCCCTGTGTCGTGAGTCTGACTTCGCGATTCTTTGGCGGCCTCACAAGAGCACGAGAGACTATTACATATACAATTTATTTTAGAAAAATAATGTCCATCTAAATATGTAAAAAGTTGGTTAATTCAAATTTGATGTTAGCCTTTCCGCTAATCCTAAGGAATCCTCATTTTCTACACTAGCATGTGAACAGACTGCGATGTTTTTCGTAGCTTTCCGCGGCCAGAGTCATGATTGGCGGTCCATGTCACCCTCCACCCATTGGCTGTCACCTCGACCTATCACCTGGATTGACCTATTCACCTGAATTGCCTCATATAAACAAGATAACCCTACACCTTGCGCAGTACAGCCCCCTGAAGAGGAACGCGACATGTCGGTTCGAAACCGTCGGACATCAGCCATCGACGCCGGCGTCACCCGGACAGCCCAGATCAAGACTGCGTGTTTCTTGGAGGCCTGACTGCGCCGTGCCGCGAGGTGTGCTCGCCATGGCCTTATCCGGAAAACATAACGCGAATGTTTCCTGGGGAGCGCCGCGAGTTCTGAGGATCCGCCACCAGAGTCGCGCCGCAGGCGCAAACCTCTACCGAAGCAAAGGTTGGCTCGGTGTCGAGTGCGGCGAGTGCTTGCCCATTATGCCGATTAGGTGAACAAATTGTCGTGTTTGTTTCTTTTACATTCATATTTATTTGTGTTAGCAAACTTTTTTTAAAGTCTAATTACCAATTATATCGGTTTCGCCAATAATAGGGCAGAGGCGTTTGGTGCGGACCATCTTCTGTGCGCTGTTTGATTTTCCAGTGCTGAGAAGCCAAACACTGAAGGAGACGGCGGCGACGCCCGTGACAGAAAATAAATAGTTTAAAAATAAACGTCGGATAGGTTAGCATGTATTCGGCTTCTGACGGCAGGTTGTTCCCCCTTCAGGATTTTTTTCCGTTGAGACCGTACCTTATGGTTCTCTTTTCCGCGCGCTTTGATGCGTTGGAGGAGACCATTGGAAAGATTAGAACGCGAAAGGATGTAGGTACCGTATTGTAATGCTTAAAGGCCTCGGCCGAGCCACATAAAATCAAGGAAGCTCATTGTTTTAATAATACCTATTAAATAAAATAAAATAAATTAATACTGACTGTTGAGTTAAGAATTCAGTGGCATAGTTGATGTTGCTATACGCTGTAAATAGTTCAATTTCACAGACCATGAATGTGTGGAAGTTAACTATCCAAACATATTAGCTTGCATACTTAGCAAGACAAACGCGAAATTACATAAAAAACTGGCACTTGCAGCATACTCCACTTATATAGTGAAAGAAACAAAAACCCGAAATCGAGGAGTAAAATCAGGTCTGAATAGTAACAAGTTGTATATTGACCATAAGTGCTCTGCTCAAACAAAGAATGCCGCTGTTTCACAAAAAATTACTAAATAATAAATGCGTGATCCAATGGACTAAATAAGCGATTCAAATATTGCGCTGTCACATTTGGTAAAAAAATCAAGAGGGGATGGACTAATCACACAGCTACAAGAATGCATTGATAGGGAAAAGTCTACAAACGCGTTTGACGTGTTAATATTTGAACACAATTAGCTGAAACGCCGGCCGTCGCATAATTAAGCTTGTTTTTATTATATTTTACGTCAAAAACAGTCAAAAACTGTGTGTGACGTGCCTATAGGGAGAAAGAAATGATGTTACATTTATGTCCAAGAAGCACATTCTCAGCTGTTAGCTCGAGATATCAGGAAACTGGACGAAACCTGATCGAGAATAAAAAACACGCGAGGTCATTGCATCCAGAAAGCTGAAGGCCGAACGGGGAAGTGGGATAGAAAATTGGTTCTAACAGAAAGCTTGCCTACATACGGAATTCTGAATGATGAAAACTGAACCGTTGTAACGATGCAGTAGCGTTCTGAGCCTCTTGAATTTTGAGAGTGCTGCAGTAAGTGCAGGGAAACGTGTCTGTAAAATATAGATTTCAAACAATTTTTTATGAGTTACAGGCGATACATCCTTTTGCCCCACATATGATAACCGTTATTGATTTTATGTCCAGGAAGCAATGAGTGAATAGCAAGCTATTCTTGTCAATAAAACGTTTATTTCTTTATCCTGAAGGAAGTTACATTCAAACTGCCAGATTTCCAACCAATGTCAGAAAGTGCATGTGCGTCTGCCATGGAACTCCGATGCCCATGCTAAGGCCGCGGCCACCAGGAGACTCGTTCCTTCTAGTGGGTGCCAGCTAGAGCAACAGAAAAGCCTAGCCGTGCGCGTCGGTCCCGTCCGTGAGGGTCTCGAGTCACTCGCAGAGCCGCCCCCCAGAGGGCCCGTCATTTCCGAAGTTCGCGTTCCGGCTGAGGGCCTCAGCACGCAGGCTCGGGACGAGGACCGGGGACGGGGAAGGGCGAAGGTGAGGGGGCGCCCAATCCGATGCAGCCCGCTGTCTTCTTAGAGTCCCCAGACACAAGAAAGAAGCCCACCGCCGACGGGCTTGAATGCTCCTCCCAGACCTCAGAGCCCCTCCAGCAGCATTCGAGTTGAAGGCGTTGTCGGAGTACTTCAAGGAAATTTAATATTGGCTTCAATACTTTGGTGCTACTCTCGGCATAACACAACACCGCAGCATTTCGAACTCTACGCCACAACTGCGAAAACTCCATATCAGGCTGTTCGCTTATAGTGTTTAAACAATTAAATGAAGGGTTCGGAGTTGCGTGCCCTCAAATTTCGAGATTCTCAATTGAGTCCCAATTCATTGGCAATTGTTATTGTGTGGCTTGTTACAAATCTTTCATGTACCCACTTAAACACCTTTCCTGCAAAAAATGCTTCATTTGCTTTATCTCGCAAAGTCTCCAATTTGCGGTTACCATGTTTTGTACGCGAACCCTCCAAATTATTGCTGTACTGTCTTCGCCTTAGGAAGTACACATTCTCCGGCAGAGCGCTGTTTAATTTCTATTTTCTAGTTTCTCGACTTCGTTGCAGTCTATCCATCAGCACCGCCTTATGATTATTCAGACTCACTATTGAAGATGTCTAAGGTCCCGAGTGGGTGAGAACGTCCTGCGGCGTGGAGTGGAGCGCAGTCGCAGAGCGTGCAACCCTAAACCTGTCCCGCCGCCGCGGCGTGACGTCACCGCCGTCAATTAACAAGACTGGTGCTAAGTTTTCCGAACTGACTCAACACAACAACATAGGTCACAAGCGAGGATGAAGGATTAGTGAAAGCCAGCGACGCGCAGATGCATACGTTAGCACTTTCCCGCGCGCTGACAAGCCACCTCCGTTCGGGATTTGATGCTGGAACGTCTGCGCCTGGGTTTGTGTCTTCCGGAAGGTGCGAAATTCAAACAAAGCGGCGGCGTGAGCAAGCTCGATGATTCCCAGCGCTTCGGCCATGAATGCTGGAGCATGCCCCAACAAGACACACAATACACGAAGAAAATTGTATACAACAGAAATGGGAAAAGGCTACTCCTCGCAGCAGCCTACTGTTAAAATAGAAGAACTGCGAGTAAACCTAAAAATTTTGCAAATATGATTTTGTGCCAGATAACCCCTTAGCATTTGAGCAGGCATGAACCAAAAAAATTGAGGAACCTACATCACTGAGATTCTGAATTCGCAAATGCCTTATCGATTATTCTACTCATTTCATGTCAAGACAATAATGTATTTCTGCAGCAGTCTTGAATCTTACGTTTGGATTTATTCGGTAATGTTATTTTTAAGGGTTAGCTCTTCCAAATAATTCGACATTTTTAACTGCATCACAACTGATAAACGTAGTGCTTCTTTTCTTTGGTGTATTGAGAATCGTTGAGAATATCTAAAACATTCAAGATGCTTATAGGTTTGTCCTTTATGCACAGATACAACACAGTTTAAGAGGTAAATTTAACCTCCGATATCTTTGCCGAAGAAGAAGAACAAGGAGACAAATTTTTAAAGTCACAGAGGTGTTAAAGAAGCAGAAAAATACCCAGTATAATTGTATGGTTATGGCCGCCCCTCTCCCATACGCACAACCATGCAAAGAAGTTAACCTTAAGATTACAAAACAATAGACCGAAACGCCAACGTGTAACCTTGCGCAAGTATTTCTTTCAGTGCCCCCGGTAGTTTCGTCTCGGATCTCAAAAGAGTAAGCATCGATCGAAGAATCGCTGCAAGAGACGCTTCAGCTCCCGGCGAGTGGACAGCCAGAGGCGAGACGAGGCAGAACACCAGGCAATGGACGGCTGCACAAGCAGATGCACCAGAACGCGCGAAACGCTTCCCCAGTTCCCCTGCCGAGGCGCGAAACTCTTCAGTGAAATCACGCAGCTACATCACAGAAACGCCCAAAGCACTGAGGCATTAATTGCGACGTACGAACTAACCTGTGAGCAGAGCGGCGTTCTCACACACGCTCTTCTATGGGATGCCGGGATGGATTCCGGGTACAGTTCCTGAAAGCCAGAATTAACACCCAACCGGGCGGCAGGAACTGCAGGCGAAAAACTCAAGTTGACAGGCGGTCTTCATTTTTACTGCGGTTTTGTTTCTTGACGGATTTCACTGTTTATTTTATGCCAGTGTCAATATTATGGCTGTCGGTTCACGTACCTGTTGCGGTGCAGGCAATGTCAAGTGAAAGCTCAACGGAAAGGTCGGGAAACGCTGTTACATACCATTCGTCCTCTGCTATGAACTTCACAAAGCTACGTAATATCGAATAGTATTTAATAACATCACTCGAAGCTCTGAACGCAGATGGTTAGAAATGTAATTTTGTTAATTGCATGAGCAGCTTTGTTCCTTCCCACATGTGAAAGCGAAAAAATGTAGCGGAAGATGCTTCAATGCATCACACAGGTAAAATGTTTCTCTTTGTTCATGAATGTTATGATTATGCAAATGTTGCATCTGACAGGTCAATGTATGAAGACCATTATCAAGTAATTAGAGAAGCCAGAGTAATAGATTTGCAGTGTTTGCCTTATGGTTTTCTTATCTGTGCATCTGTTGTGGCAAGGCATGTAGGTTATCGTGCAAAAAACTATAATTCTATAGGCGGCGCAATTAGTTTAGCTTAGTTCGGACGACACAATAGAAAAATTAGGTAAAGTCGAGTGATCAAGTTTAATTAAGGCATGCTATGTAGGTGAACATCTCTATTTTGATAGTTAATTTTCTTTCCAGGACCGCTCGAGTTCTCCACTCCAAACGTTGAGAGCACTCTTTTTGTTTTGCTTTTCTTTGCCTGTTCTCTCCAAACAAACTCTCATACGGTGTAAAGTGCTTATGGCGTAAATTAAAAAATTTTGACTTTGTTTCCTTTGGTAACACCATATGCAGAGGTATAGACGCCATTCAGCAAGTTCCAAAACGTTTCGTTATATTGCTGCAGATATATTTGTATCGGCAGCAATTGAGCTTTCTGGCATTTGACATACAGCAATACCGGTTAACGTGCTTATTGATATGAGTCCGTTAAGAGCTTAATGATATTGGCTTCAAAATCTTCGATATAAATTCACAATTCATGAGATGCCATTACGGTATTCATTACTGATTTCCAATGAGTCCTTTACTTCCTTGCTCTTGTATTTTCGGCATGTATTATTTTCGGAAATTTAATTTTCTTGTGTGTAAACTCAATATTCCGCAAGAGTAACTTGCACTTTCGTAATTCTAAAAATTCAGAAGAAAACATAACCGCAACCTTCCCCTCCGCTAACTTATTATTAATTTTCTTGATGGAACATCAATCGTACGTCATTGAAATCATAGAATGCAGAAAATTCTGGGTTTTCCCACAAGTTTATTAAAAAGACTTTCATCAAAAAAATTACTGTGAAGTTTATAAAACTTTGACCAAAAAAAGAGTGGTTTTCTTCTCTATGTGCATATCATTGTCAGTTCTATCTATAGATAAAGTCCAACATACATTAAGTAAAATCATGAATATCCATAAAATCTCTTGAGAGAAAGTATTTTAATGGGTTGTACAAAAGGCACATTCAATAAGAAATCTCTGCTTGAGAAGCAGGAAACAGATTTTAAAAATAATGCATATACAGGAACATGTGCACGACAAGCAGATATCTTCAAAACCTGCAACTGGTGGAACCCTCCCTGTGAGGCATCAGCTAGTTCCCAAAAACAATAGTTTTTCTATGAAAAAAGGTCGCCCCCCCCAGAGCTGTCAATGACCGTCTCTCCTTGAAGATATACACGCGCCTGAATCACTGAGGAAGGTGAAGACGCTTCACGTCCCCAACTTTCCCCCCGCCAGTAAACCCTGCGACAGCCCCCGTCCCACCGACAGTCCGTCCCCGACAGTCCGTCCCCGACAGTCCGGTCCCGACAGTCCGTCCCCGACAGTCCGTCCCCGACAGTCCAGCCCGCATAGTCGTACTACCGTCAGGCCAACCGACACGCCATCCTATATTCTATTCGACGGTCCCTGGTCACGCTGTGTATCTTGTGAATTCGTACTCTTCGTGACACCACCAGCGCAAACAGTTGTGCGCATCTTCTGTTCCAGACGATGGCCGCGGCGGCAGCGACGACTGGTGTGAAGGGCGTGGCCCGCCGTGTGGACCTGTCCTACACCATCCGAGCTGGCCCGCGCGGCGGCGGCGCCACAGTGTGAGATTGGACGAACCTAGCCGCCTCAAAATTACCTTTTCCCAAACTCAGCATTTAAGGGAAGCTGATGAAAAACTAATGCCTTCTAGATAGTAAAGCACATGGGTGCACAGTTTTTTATCCCCTGGGGAAGAAATATAGCCTAACAGAGCGGTCAGTTACCCTTTCAGGCAGGACGTCGTTAGCCGGTGTAGTGCTTTGTGCAGAGTGTTGAAGAAACACGCATGGACGCCTTTAATTTGCAGTCTTATTACTGATTAGAATCTGACTGAATCGGATTCAGTAAAAGTTTGTACTTTATTTATTCTTTAAATTTAGAGAATTAAATAAAAAAATAACATTAAAATGACTGGCCATAATGGAGTTCTTAAAATTTCTGGATTTTTAAATTTTTAATTTCTTTGTCTTGAGTTATAAATTATCCCCATTGACATCCGTCAAAACTCAACATGGATGTATTACCCAAGACTATGCTTCATCGATTGTCCAATCACATCCAGCTGCTTAACTAGCTGCTCTTTCAATCGTAATGATATTATTTTCAATTGACGATGCCGCTCATTACGCGACGCGCGCTTTTCGAGGTGTGGGCCGCTTAAATACTGTACAAACAGAACAAAGAGGTGTTAGAGCATGTACCTGCAACTAGGCTTAGAAGATTGTTCAGAAGACATCCAGGCAAATCACTTAAAATCGCAATTTCTAAAGCTGGTTAAAAACCATAGTGAGCATGGCAAACATCGGCAAGTGTGGTGCAAAGAGAAATTTTGCCACGACGAATTGTGGCTTTCAAAAAGAAATCGAATTCGAGAGAAATTTCGTTGTGGTGGGTTCCATCAACAGTACTCTAAATTTAATTCTTCTATATACTATACTATAATTCATCTTCATAAAGCTTAGGACGACCAAGAAAAGTTATTTATTACATGCTACCCAAAGCGAAGACAGGTGAAAGCTATTACAGTCGACGAAAACACTTTAGGTTGCTATCAGTATGCCACTACACTCCTATTCATATACGAGAAAGAGTAAAAAATATTATATGGCCCACCAAGATACACGATCATCAACTCGATTTCTGTAAGCGCTAATAATCAAATTACGTAAAAGAAACTCAATCTTCAATTAGGATTAAATAGGAAGCGTGTACCCTCCAAATAGAAGAAGCCTTGATAATTGCCTTCAACATTTTTCGTGACAGAAACTATAAACATTGTAGTTAGCCCACACTAACGTCTGGGCACCTTGCAAGCGTCTGTAGTAGTTTACCGTAGTTATTACTTTCATCACAGAAACTGGTACATATGCAGTGCAACACCCAAAAGAAGTAATGTTATGGATTGCTCAAAGCATAAACAGATCAATCCTAGTATGTTGGAATTTGCTTATCACATTTACATACCATGATTCGATTTTATTTAAGTCTATAATTACATTGCATTACCGCTTTGAGATCGACGAACTTAGACAAAAATTGGCCATAGGAGTGCATGGAACCGACAAGAAAATACTGTAGAAGCCAAGAAAGAAGTACATCCAGCAGCCGATTCTCAGAAGAGTTGGATTTAATTATTGACAGGCCAAAGAAAGATATGGTAATAGTAATGACGGCAATACTGCCCGAAGAATGTTTCAAAACAAACCTCTAAGCGCGCTACTGATTACTGGAATCCATGAAGATTTAATTCACATATAAAATAATTCTGAAATATTGTGAGGCATGAAATTAATAAGACACATTTGGACATTATGCTTAAAGACACAAATATAACTTCTCTTGAAACACTATAATTGGTACCACATGCCAGTATCTGAGCATAAATATTGTTCAGGTGAAGACTGTAATTGACACAATATTCTGCCAATCGGGCAACTGCTCAGAGGAAGTGCAAGAAGCGCCGTAACAAAAACTACAGACGTTTGAGAGAATGTTTCTCAGCGGAAATTCTTCAAGACTGAATGCAAAAAGTACTGATCTGTTTTCACCAGACTCTTAAGTATCAATCTGATCCTTTCATCAGCAGCATCAAGAAAGTAGCCAAAAACAAAATCGCAGGAAATTTCGGAGAAAGCAAACTGTTACTGTGTTTCGAAAATTTTTTAAGAGTTGAGAAATACATCAATATAGAACACGATATTAGTTTATTCTTTATAGATGTATAAGATAGTCATTGATCTCGTGTGTTTCGAGTACACAACGATGCTGAGGTGAATTTTTTAACTATTGTCCCGATTACAAGAGCATTTCAATTTTTATCTTTATCTCTAACTGAAATGATCACTCGGGAATCGAAGCTTTATCAACCCTATACAATGCGACCGTTCAGCCGCTCATCGGAGATGGCATCCAAGTTACCTTTAGGTAAGTAACGTGTGCAAAGTTTCGCATCAAAATT